AGGCTACTTGTTGCTTTTCTTTCCATCTCTCTGCTTTTTCAGGGGTAAGAGAGGAGGAAGGAAAAACAAACCCACACACCTTTTTTTTTTATTTTCCAGATAAGGACTGAAAGAGAAAAGAGAAATGTCAAATCAAATTAAGGAAAATAAAACAAAATTAAAAAGAAAATCCTTTGCCAAAGGGAGATTTGAACCTGCAAGTACTTGCTGATAAATCTGCATTTTAAGCCTTGGGGCAGTATTGTTATGGCATGTATTTAGCTGTCTCTCTGTGTATGTGCAGACATCCCACAATACCAGCAGTGAGCAGCTGATGCCATGATTGGAACTATGATATCTGTTAATTTCTTGTTTATGTCAGTGGTGCCTTACATGTAATTGAGAATGGCAGTGATGTCAGCACAGTTCTGAGAATCTAGTGTGTTAAAAGGTTTGCTTGAAGTGTGTGTGTACATATACCAATGCTAACTCCTGAATTGTCTGATACAGATTGGGTGCCCCATCCCTTTTGCTATTGCAGAAGGGCTTTCCTGATCTCCACTTGCTATAGGTGACTCTTTAGCCGGACAGGCCCCCCGCTTCCTGGCTGAAATCCATTCACAGGGGCACTGTCAGTTAGTTCTTTAAACTAGGTAGTGCTTTTAAAATTCTTCCCTGATTAAAAATGTCAGTCAGTCAGGGAAAGATTCTAATTACCACTCCTTCCCATATAGAGGTTGAAGTGGGAAAATATTCTGAAAATGTTCAGTGTTTCCCAATGTCATTTCAACAACCCCATTCGATACACATGACAATGAATAGGGTGCAGTTTTCAGCATTACACAACCTCTACCAAAGAAAAAAACATCTCATAAGAAGGACATGATAGAGATTGGTTAGCCCCTTGTGCAGCTTAGGACCTTTATGGGTTTTGCAACATTGGGAAATCATCAGGGCAAAGGAGTGTTCTGGCCAAGCCTCCTCTTACCCCAATATACCCCAGAACATACCCTGTGCCAAAGGCTTCTATGGGGGGGCAGAGCAAACCCAGCTCGATTCCTGGCATAGAATCCCCCTTGAGCCAATGCTATTCATTAGTGGTCTTTATGCCTGCCCTACAGTCCATTTGTGTCAGGAATTACAGTGCAAGGGGGCTGTAGGTCAATGATGAGTCTTGCCATCTGTGACTAAACAGCCAGCCAAAACTTCCATTGGCCAGCAGTCAGTTTTCTGCTGCATGGGGCCTTTATAATCTAAACATTGTCTACATTCTAACAGTTTTTAGATGAGTCAAAATCTGGGTCTGTGTGTCCCATCTAAAGATTTGGGATCTGATTCTCCTTTCCCTTCCACCAGTTTTATATTAGAGTAACACCATTGGCTTCCAAGGGTGATTTCTAATTTACAAATAATGGGGAAATGAAAGGAAAATAATCTAATCTTAATCCTGCTTGCAGTTTGACAAGTCAGTGTGACTAAGGAGAATTACTTTTATTTAGATTTTTAAAATATGCCTGTTTGTTTTAGGTGCGTATACAGTAAAAACAATTACAAATCTTATAAAAATAGCCCAAATGTTGCTTACCCAAATTAACCCTTCATAACTGTCAATAACCATTCCTTTATACCCAGATACGAACTCCAAACTCACATCTTTCTCGAAAGAATGGGAAAACAGACAGGCCTCACAGCATACCCTGATGGTCAACAGACTTGGGAGTTATGATCACTTATTGCATTCCAAACAATTTCAGCCAACACAGAACTTCAGTTTTTGCATGAACTAAATCTTACTGCTATATACGGATGGTCAAGCTTGATTCACCATGACACTTCTACTGAGTTAAATACTCTTTACTTTTAAAAGCAGCACAATAAGACTTTAGCAGGTTTTGAAGAAGGGTTAATTTTGAAGCAGTAGCAGGAACTTTACTTGGATGCAAGGTTTTCTAGAATCACTATCAGGCTATGGTACTTTGGCTCCTAATTTTGTCAGGTCAAATCTGGCCACACAATTCGGTTTGTAAAAGTAAGTTTTTATCAAGTTTAAGACCAACACAAATATTTCCAATAATTCTGTTGTTGTTATTTCAAAAGAAAAACAAACAAAAATATTCCCAATCTATATTTACAATACAAAAGTGCAGTCTTGTGCTTAGAGAGGAGAAACTTAAAGCGAAACTGACTAGAAACCAAAGTGATGCAGACTAGTCTATTCTCATTGTCCAATCCTTAAGAGTACACAAACAAGCCATAAATGGCAGAAAATAATTTACACTTGCAATACGCTTTCAGTTTTAAGAATCACATGCATTATTAGTAACATAGGCAAGGAAATTACTGTTTGAACATATGGGATCAGGTCCTATGTGGCAGCCAAACTGTGAAGAGTGTTGGTCAGTGGTGTGCAAAGATGACTGAAAGCTCACCTTTGCACTCCTATGATCTTGGGAGCTGCTGCGTGCAGCCATTCCCCCTGTGCTATGTTGAAATAGCACGTGAGTTGCAATGGCCACAAGGAACTGAAAATACGGCCAATGATTAGCATAATGCAGGAGCAACTTGGTCATGCTCCATTTTCCCCAGCCATGCCTTTTTCCCTTGCTATCCCAGCCAGAGGTGGCTGGAATGGCACAAGAACCCCTAAATCAGCTCCATCCCTCTGGTAGATCAGCCTTATATTAGGATGGTCCTTCTGGAGCCAGTTAAGATGGCTCCACAGCTAGATTACCTCAGTGGTTTGGTGCAAAAAAGCCACACCACAATGGAGTTTGGCCCATAATTTTTAATAGGACAATAATGTTTTAAGTGCCTCTTTTACAGCATCTCTCTCTCTCTCCAGCATACCAATTCATTGGCTCAGTGTTAATGGTAGCTCTTGAGCAGCATGTGAAAAAGAATCATGAAGCTTATTATCCACACTTATCCTATTATCTGTAACTTGTATTCAAATAGCTGAGACCCTGAATATCTTCTAAGCTGTGGGATCCACCATCTGCTGTCCAAATTTCTACCATCTAAATTGTTTGTGTTAGAATCAAAACAACATATGATCACAGAAAACATTCTTTTTTATTAATCCCATGGGGGCTACGTTAGCTCGGCTCTGACAAACCATGCCAATAATGCTACACGAACAGAGTCTTCATAGTTTAAAGGTGGTAATTTGAGGGTTTTAAAATAAAAGTGTAATTATGGAACTGCTTCACTCCATCCATTAAGTACATTTACACTTTAAAAAAATAAATCCTAAGTATGGGCTCGATTGCAATACCCATACTCACACTCAATAGCATTTTACTCTACATAAAGTCTTCCTGAAGTCCATGAAACTACACCTCTACCCCGATATAACGCTGTCCTCGGGAGCCAAAAAATCTTACCGCATTATAGGTGAAACCACGTTATATCGAACTTGCTTTGATCTGCCGGAGTGCGCAGCACCGTTCCCCCAGAGCACTGCTTTACTGCGTTATATCCGAATTCGTGTTATATCGGGTCGCGTTATATCGGGGTAGAGGTGTACTTGCAGAATAAGGTATGAACAGTATAGTCCTATGTTTGTAGGATGCATTCTATACATGTTAACAGAGCTGTGCAAAAAAATCACCATTTTTGATTTATGAAATTTTATGCATAAATGTTAGCAGTTTCATGTGATTTTGCTCCACAGCTTAGTTTTATGTGGGTTTCCTTTTTCAAAATGGCTATTTTCACAATGAAAAAACAAACAAACAATTTTTTGCACGTTTTCAACAGAGAAGCCATTTTTACTCAAATCTGGGCTCATCTTTACCAGCAAATGAGACCCTTTACTTGAGAAATGTACATGTCCAACAACATTTTTCATGAAAATGGTCTCAAGTGTATAATAAAATTTGGAAAAACGTTGATTTCCAGCAGTTTACTATACTTTTTGTTTATGACTATTTCATGCTCCTCTAAAAATGCTTACTTGATGGTTTTAATTATTTTTACTACACATTACAAGTGATTAAATTATATCACCTGCTAATTTTTTGCCATTAGCCCCCCCCAAAATAGTTCAATGTGCACTCTATATTTTTAAACAAACAAGCAAAACAGTAAACCTCTAGCATTCACTTTTGCACAAAAATGGCCACAACTTTTCTTTGAAATTCTGTTTCCAAGGCAAGTACCTTGTATGTTAAAATTCAGGCCACAACTAATTTCCAAGGCCAAGTAGTAAACCCTTAAAACAGGGGTTTTATATTGGAAGTGCTGACACAACCCTACAACTAATGACACTATAATATAACGGCTAAGGCTTAGGCCTGCATTCCAGTTGGCCTAAGGATGTTCAAAATATAGGGCCTCTTGTCACTTTTAAAGAAATGACCAACTTAATTTACTATAATAAAAGCTTAGGAAGAAGATGTTGCAATACTGCAGATGTCTGCCTTTACATTGTACTCTGTCTATACCACTCTTCTTGAGAACCAAGATTTCTGAACTTTATAAAGATGGAGACTGTAATTGAGTTTAATGTACCTAGGAGCTAAAATTACATAGCCTTATTTATCAGAATGAGTGTTAAAAATGAGAGCCTTACAATAAGGGTGAATTGTAACAAGACAGGACTTACTAATACATTAGCAAGGAGTTGCTCAAAATCCTTTGGCTATAGTTCAGACCCTTTAGAGACAAAAACCTACCCTGTTGGAATGTTTCTAAATCAATGCCAATACCAGAAACAAAAAAGTGCTGAATTCATTATTTATATTTTTGTCACACACAAGTATGCAAGTAGAAAATGACACTGCCATGTAAATTCATTAAAGTAATTAATGAATGTATGTAATAAGCAAGAATCAGCTTAATGCAGCTATAACTCTTCTGACAAAATGCTTTTTTATGAATTTTGATTGTTTAAAATGTTCAGTGTTAATATTAATAAATTATACTAAAATAAATGCAATATTAGCAGGAACAGGTGAATCCTATAAAACAACTTGATAGGTTACTACCCAAGATAAAAACAAAGATCGTTAGTATTCTAACTCCAAACAATCGTCATTAACTGTAACTGCACATGAATGAATATAAAAAACCCAGCTGACACTCCAATTTAGAACTGGGTCAGAATGGGGTAGGAAGCATTGCAAAGACAGGATGCTCAGTCCCTGGGAAAGGAAGAGAATCTCATGTTCTGCACTTATCCCATAGCTGACAGCAGCATTATGGGCTCTAACGAAGTCACAATCATCCCCTTTGGCTCCTAGGATGGTGAGGGTCATTTAGGGCTGCAGACAGAAGGAATGAATTTGGAAATATAAAAAGTATACACAGAGCCTAGGAATGCATGACTTTATTTGAAAGGATTGCTTCCCTGCCAGTTAATGACTGATTTCCCCCATGATTGATTTCCCCCACAACCAAAAGTCGTCCTGTTGGAATAACATCTATCATGACTGTGTAAACATCTATGCCAGGCTGGAATTGAAACTTTCAGGAATCTGAAAGTTTCATTATTACTATGGCAAGAAACTGGTATTCTGCCTTCCAATTTGGGCAATTTCTGAAGCATTTATTAATGCTGCTAATTATACTATAGTTACTATGCTTATGTCAAATAAACCTCATTTTCACTAATTTAGCAGAGTTTAGTGCTAACAGTGTAGAAATTTGCTTTAAATTTCCACTTTACCATTAAATGCATAACATTATTAATAGCAATTTTTTGTAGTATAAATGATTGTCTCCTATAGCCTTCACAGAAATTACTAGCATTTTGACCAAAAACATATGCAATTTTCCATTTGCCCTGCTCATAAGCAAAAATGTTGATGACATTATCGCTTTGACAAGAAGTGCTTAGAAAGTGCTATCATCATTATACCCTGGTAATTATTAGATATTAATTCCAAGGAAAATTTTAAATATATACATACTGTTCTTCTTTTAGCAATTTTTAATACTAATCTCTGACATTATAAAACTCTATTTTTGCCCATTGATAATTTCTAAATACAAAGCATGTTAAAAGTATGTTCAGTAATCTACAGCCTTTTGAATGAAAGGCATCAAAACACTCCTTGTGGCAGAAAAGGGTCCTAGTTGTAGGTGTTTTAATAGCTTTTTATACTTTGTCACTGGAAATAAATAGACAAGGAGCAGTCTCGTAGGAAACTGGTAACATGTTGGAAATATTTGTACATACCAAAATGTCATTTTTTTTTAAAAAACTTATTTCTCTTAATTGTGTAGTTACTTGTTTTACTAAAATTACTTTGATCCATCGAGATGCATTGTTCCGACTATGCAGACGTGCCAGTTATTTGACCATTATACTCTGCTGTTTCCATTTTGAGGATGTATGGGATTATGCTGTCAATCGGAACATTTCCTATGAGGCCAGTAAAAAAAAGTTCCTCTGTAATACTAGAGCTCATCAGTCTAAGTGCTGGTAGGCGAACTAGAATCCGGGCTAACCTGGAAAAGAAGTTCAGGAGATTATGAAAAGGTATAATGCAAATAAGGGTACGTCTTCACTACCCGCCGTATCGGCGGGTAGCAATCGATTTATCCGGGATCGATATATCGCGGCTCGTTAAGACGCGATATATTGATCCCCGAACGCGCTCACCGTCGACTCCGGAACTCCACCAGAGCGAGCGGCGGTAGCGCAGTCGACGGGGGAGCCGCGGCCGTCGATCCCGCGCCGTGTGGACCCCAGGTAATTTGATCTTAGATCGATCCCCCCCCCCCCCAAGTGTAGACCAGCCCTAAATCTAAACTACTGTGCTGCTAAAGAGCTGGGCCTGCTTTTATTATTAAAGAAACTCATGAGTGAGAAGAAAGGCAATTTATGTTAATTTAGCTATTCTGAAAAGAATGTCTATGCTTATTCTTCCACTTTGCAAATTAAATGAAAAATGCACAGTTCTTTAAGTCTACTGTCTGTGAAATTCCCAGCTTTGCAAGTGTTTTATGGCTAAGGACAATGTCATACTGAGTAATGAGGACATTTTCACATTTTTAAGAGCAAAATGCTTAATTAGTTTAAATAATCTATACAGCATCACTCTCAGTTGCCTAGCAACTTCTTAATGAAAAACCAGATCGCAAGAGAGGCATGAGAATGTATAAAAAAGGAAGCAGAAATATCTGAAAAGAAAGGGGGAATTTTGAAGGGTTTTGTTGCTCCCTCTTATGCTAGTCCCAAACCCCATGTTTTGTTAATGTGTACAGACAATGACTAAAATTTACAAATATACAGAAGCTAACCTTATACCACCACTGACATTTTAAAAGCAGTTTTACTTTACAGTAATTCTGTAGCATATCTACCTTGTTTAAATAGCAGGATCACATGACAAAAAAAAATCAAAATAAATGAGTTTCTTGATGAAATTATTTAAAGTATATAACAGCAGAGCCCCCTAGTAATAAAACGAGAGACCCATTGATGATTCATGGCTAGCTGTGGAAAACATTCTGTGTAGAACCAATTCTGCTAACACACCATCTCTTGTAAATGTGAAGGTACATTAGTAAAGGGATTGAAGTCTGGCATCCCTTTTTGTAGCCATAAATTTGAATACTTTCCTCTGCCTGATTTATGCCTGCAATCAATTATTTAGAAGTGCAAGATAGCTCAGTGGTTTGAGCATTGGCCTACTAAACCCAGGGTTGTGAGTTCAATCCTTGAGAGGGCCACTTAGGGATCTGGGGCAAAATCAGTACTTGGTCCTGCTAGTGAAGGCAGGGGGCTGGACTTGATGACCTTTCAGGGTCCCTTCCAGCTCTATGAGATAGGTATTCTGAATTCACCCACAAGTGAACAGGAGGGTGCCAACTGCACTCACAAAAATGGAGGCTAGTCTTTGGGGAAATTTGGCCCTTTATAAATTTCCCTTCCCTCATTCTTTATTAAGAAGTATAACTGCATGGGAGAAGATTTTTATTTTTCAGTGGCGCAATTCACTTCACAGGGATAAAGCCAAAGTAATTAGGAAACAAAGGAAATGCTGTGCAACCAACATTTCAGACAAATGTCCTTGGGAATTAAAAAATGGAGGAAAAAACCAAAAACACAGGTAGATAGAATTTCTTCTAATTACAAGCTTAAGGGGCTTAGTTACTATTCCCCATCTAAATCTTGGTTTTCAAAGGTTTATATGTTGGTAGTTTGCAGATGCATGAAACTTACCATACATAATCTGTTAAACTTTATAAGGACAGGAATTGGTTCAGCCCTTTTATGGTCTCAGACTATTTGGCTCTTCTAACTTAAAAATAATAAGAACCTCCTCCAACACTCCCTCCCACATACCTACACCAGTCTCTATAAAATTAAAAAAATTGCAGGCAGTCAATCCTGCTTCTTGCCCTGTTTAAACTAAACCTGTCTGCTTTTATAAATGTGCAGTCCCCACAAAACTAAATGTAACAACATTCTTATGTCTTTATGCTGCAACCATTGCTCAGGGAATTATTCAGGGTATCAAAAATAAATACCTATAAGTATCTTCTGGATAGGTTTTTTGGACATAGTCTTGCAATTCCATCTGTGCCTTCTCTTGGAATTTTTCTATTTGGCTTGAACTCGTCAGACCAGGGTGATCTAAAGAAATAAAACATTTCCAAATGTCTATGGTTTCACCATAAAATAAGACATGAGTACTTACAAAGAATCTTCTACTTAATTTCATTCAACTCTTCCTCTTGGGTACCATGGTTGATATGATAGTTGCAGTAAGGAGTACCTCATTAAATCTCAATAAATCATTCTGAGATTATGTATATTATTTTCAAAGACATTAGTATATATGTTATTAAATGAATTATTTGCAAATTAATGTATTAGACACAATGCATAACGTTATCATTTATGTACACATGCTTAACTAATATGATTTTGTTATGAGTTGTGTGTAATATGAACAGACATTGCTCATTAATATATAGGCTGATGTTGTAATTGTACTTTCTGCTCACTGTTGGTCCTGTAATATGTGTATTTGGCTAAAATTTCATTCCTGGCTTTAGAATTAGTGCACTCACGTTTCCTTCTGCAGCTGGCTGTGCCCACAGAACTGGGAGCACATAAATTCTGAGTGCACACCTGCTATCAGTGGGTCCAATCATGCTACAGGGTGGACAGCTTTTGAGGGCATAATCGTTTGTTTCTGCTCCTTCTCATTTCAAATGGGTTTCCCTCCGTTGTTTGAACTCACTAGGCAGAATAATCAATTTCTTGCTTTCAAGATTTTGACTTCCAAACCTTGACCGGTTTGTATTGTCACAATTCCAGATGCTTTCAGCTCATCACTGAGCAGTCAAATAATCAGAAGGGCAGAAAATACCATGTGTGGCTATGCAAAAACTTCTTCAGCGACAGGCTCATAGGGCCACAAGTGTCATGTTCCTTCTTGCTCTCTCTTAAAAAGGACTAGAGCAGGCCTATGCTTGGAGTCTTTCTCCTCCCACATCAGCTAGAAGCATTTCTTACGGTGTGGCCTAGTGGACAGAGACTGAACTAGGACTCAGGAGATCTGGGTTTTATTTCTGCTCTGCCAACAGCCTGTTGGGTGACCTTGGGCAAGTCACTTCCCTTGCCTGTGGCGCAATTTCCCCATCTGTAAAATGGGGATAATGAAACTTACCTCCTTGTAAAGAACTTTGAGATCTGCTCATGAAAAGCTCATAGATAAGAGCTATGTATTACTATTACTACAGAAAAACCCAAGGCACAGTCTGAGAAATTCCCCAAAGCAACAGTCCAAGACCCTAAATTAATCTAATTAAAACAAGATTTATTAAGAGTAGATAGAGAAAATATTAAAGCAAAAGAAAAGGCTTGCATGACATCCCTACTCTGAATACTTTGTAAAACTCAGTGAGGTAGATATGTTAGAATTAGTTACAGTGGAAATAAAAGTAAATGCCTTACATTTCTAAGAGAGAGCTTCCCTCTCACTCAGCCTGTCAGCACTTCTTATCTACCCTTTCAATGTCCCGGGAATGTTTAACTCCCCGTCCCCTGCCTGATCATCACTTTGTACTTTGATATGCCTATGGATACCCCTGACAAAGGTGTCCTCTCTGAGGAAATCCTCAGATCTCATACACAATGTCCATTGTATATTTTTTAGTTATCAGCTCTTATGCTCATTGTCCTTATTAATAAATTGGTGAGAGGAGGGATATTGTGTTTATTGGAGGATGTATCTAAACCATAGTAGACTTTCAACTCACATTATAGCCAGAGGATATATTTCCCCATACCATTCTTATCATTAATTATATTCCATATTAAACGAAATGTGACAAATTCACAGTCATCTGTCACACATGCCTACTGACATGACCCATCCACAGAGGAGGGGTTGGAAATTGATAGCACAGCTTTATGCCACTCAGGGATCCCCTTACACCAAGATAATCCCCAGCTGCACTATTAGAGCAGCTTTCAGGCTTCTTTGTGCTGTCAGAGTATCACAAAGCAGCTTGGGAAAGGGCTGGGGGACTGAGAATCTGGCCTTTAAATATATGTAAGTATGTATAAAATATGTGGAATTTCTGGAGCCTTAAATCAATTACATTTGGTGCCCCAAAAGTTATTTTTTAAAAGGGGTTATTGATGCTGAAGTCTTATGGTGCTGTGAGATATTTTATGAACAACTCAGTAGAACAGTCTTTTCATCACTGGATATTTGGTTCTCTTTAAAATCTCCTGGTGCCAAAAGATTAATATTTTGTAAGTTCAGCATCTGAACTGCAGTTAGAAACACGGGAAGGTCATTATAATGGTTGCCAAATGCCTTACCAGGGCTAAAGAGGACTATAGCTTTAAGGTATGCATATTCATATCCATCAATATCAAGCTTGGCCATGCTGTTACAGAATTCCTGAAGTTTCCAGATGTGTTCCATGACTTGCTTTATTCTGTCTCCGGAAAGCTTATCTACAAACAGACATTACACACTCTCTTAAGAGAGTTCAAATACATTTGAAAAATTAACGAAACCAACACCCATCCCCTTTATAGGAATAGATCAAATGAAATTTTAAACCTTCTGAATTGTACTATAAACTTTTTTAAACCATATAAAAATATATCGTGCATGAATTAATACTCATGGAAGTGAGGATTGAGGATCTAATAAACTGGAGTCAGGCACAGTACTGGCAAACATAATGCAATATTTTTCCACAAAGGTCTGCCAATATATCTAAACCCTAATCAGCAACACCCATGTTATTCCAGTGATGGGCCTCTTCTAAGCAGAATGTGCTGAATGGTGCTATAAATTAAACCGGGGTCTGGGGAGGTGGACAAAAGTGAGAGATTAGGTGCAAACTATCGAATTACCTTATTGTAACTTGTGACCCAATCAGGAGTCAGTCTGGCTGTCCAGAAGTGAAAGGCTAATGCAATATGACTGTGCCACCTTTTTCCATATCTGTTCCTTTAGAAAAAACTGTTTGTTCACTGTAGTATGTACCCTTTCCCCCTCTTGTGGAGTAGAATTAACTCTGTTACACACAGGTTGATCCCTCAGCCTTTCATATTACCATGTCCTTTGTGTTGGCTTCATCTCCTTTCTGTTTAAAAATGTTTATTTGGAAAGTGCTACACCAATTATGAATTTTCTAAAGTTCCATAGTTTTAGTTGAGCCTTAAGAGGAGATATATGAGGGGCACTTTGTTTCAGGAAGCATTAGCTAAAAAGGGAAGAAAAGACTCCTACTTTGGTAAGAAAATGAGAAACAGTTTTCCTTTTCCTCCTCCCCTGACTGCATATTTGTAGACCAGTCAAAGAAATATGACAGATAGAAACATGAGATTATATTAAGACAGATATATGGACACATGATTTCCATTAATTAACTTCATCAAGATAAGTCAGATCAAGAAACCTACCACATATCAAACTTTTCAGCTGAAAAAATACAAATTAAAAGAACTTTACTCCATGTATGACCTCTAATACTTATATTTCATATCATTATAACTTAAGTATTTTTGCCTTCATCTGTACTGCTAATGGCTGCATAGATTTGCTTAGCCCTGTGTGTCCTAAATTGGATTTTTGATGTAATTTAGGATTACTGTATATATTTTATGCAACCACAATAAAAAATTGAAAGGAAAAAACTAGACATTTTTACATAATGTCTTGAAAACAAGAATGAAAATATAATAACATTTCTAAGATAGATAAACTGATTCTTGTATTGTGATTATTCAGGGTGATACAGGTGCTATCACATTTTTATTTTTTTAATGTATGGGAAACAATAGTGCAAAAGTACACAGGGAAAACAGCTGGAATTCTAGACTTTCCCAGAATGGTTACAATACTCATAATCTTCCTAGATAAATTTCTAGTGTTTTGTCTTCACCATTTTAAAATAATAATAAAAAACTTAACTTGATACCCTTATGTCAGTACCTTGGAATGACATAACATGAGCTCATATAGAGCCAAATCCTCTTCTCAGTGCAAATCCCAAGTAACAAGGCTAGGTACTGAGGAGGTCTGGAAGGGTCAGGGCTGACGATGGAATTCTTTTCACTCAGGCTATGGAATGGTAATGCCACCTTATGGCTCCTGCAGCTGCTATAATCTCCAACCCCTTGCAGGGCAGTCACCTAATCCTTCACCTTCAAGCCCCCCTCCACTCTCAGATGCAGAGAAAACCTGAAGGGCACACTCTTCAGGGAATGCAGGGTATTCAAGCCCACCTCCATGGCCTCTTCACATCATTCCCCTTTCTCTGTGCAGTAAAGCAGGGGTTCTCAACCTTTTTCTTTCTGAGGCCCCCCACAACATGATATAAAAACTTCACGGCCCACCTGCGCCACAACAACTGGTTTTCTGCATATAAAAGCCAGGGCCGGAGGTAGTGGGGTAGCAAGCAGGGCAACTGCCTGAGGCCCCATGCCATAGGGCCCCGGCAAAGCTAAGTTGCTCAGGCTTTGGCTTCAGCCCCATGCAGCAGAGCTTAGGCTTTCTGCCCTGGGCCCCAGCGAGTCTAATGCTGGCCCTGCTTGGAGGACCCCCAGAAACCTGCTCGTGGCCCCCCAGGGGGCCCCAGACCCCTGATTGAGAACCACTGCAGTAGAGCACCACCTTTTTTTGTTTTGTTTTGTTGTGTTTTGAGGGGCTGGTTTGGGGGTAGGATTTGCCTATGCTTATTAGGTTTGAAAGGATTACATTTTAAATCAGTAAGTGCTGTAATCGCTGATTTCCCCCTTCCAGACAAACCTCCCCCCTCTCCCCAAACCAAACAAAAAAAACTCATGAAAAAAATGCACATTGTTGATAACTGAAATGTATTGTGTGGGAAATTAAAAAATATATAACATATTGCACCTGTAGACCGGGGTGGGCAAACTTTTTGGCCCGAGGGCCTCATCTGGGTGGGGAAATTGTATGCAGGGCCATGAATGTAGGGCTGGTGCAGGGGGTTAGGGTGCGGAAGGGAGTGCGGAGTGTGGGAGGGGGTGCAATGTGCAGGAAGGGGCTCAGGGCAAGGGGTTGGGATGTGGGAGGTGTTTGGAGTGGGGGCTCCGGCCCGGCACCGCTTACCTCAAGAGGCTCTGGGGTGGCAGCGGGACTAAGGCAGGCTCCCTGCCTGCCCTGGACCTGAGCCTCTGCCGGAAGTAGCCAGCATGTCCGGCAGTGGCTCCTGCCGCGCACTGCCCTCACCTGCGGGTACTACCCCCGAAGCTCCCATTGGCCGCAGTTCCCTGTTCCCGACCAATGGGAGCTCCAGGGGGCAGTGCCTGCAGGTGAGGGCAGCGCACGGAGCCCTCTGCCCCCCCAGGGGCCGCAGGGACGTGGTGCCGGATGCTTCTGGGAGTGGCGTGGGGCCAGGGCAGGCAGGGAGCTTGCCTTAGCCTCGCTGCGCCATGGGGCTGGCAATCTCGTGGACTGGACTGAAACCCTGATGGGCTGGATCTGGCCCGCGGGCCGTAGTTTGCCCTCCCCTGCTGTAGACAGTTTGTAAGCTATGGCTGTCATTTTATTATTAAGAAATTAAATTGACAGAATTTAAAAATCATGTGACAGATTCTGTGCTCAGCTTCCAAGAGGCACCCATGGAAGGCACAGCCCAGGGAGAGGAGTGGCAAAGGTGGCTTTAATACAGTTTTTTACTGCCTACATTCTGAACTGGCTGGTGGCAAGAGTGGCTCCTGGAATATATTAGAACAGCCTCAGGAGCTACTCTAATTTACAGCAGCTACCTCAGAGCTGCAACTGCAGTTGACCTCTGCAGCTCCTGTATCCTCCTCATTGATGTGAGGGAGGGAAGGGGAAAAAAAATGTCCAGTGAACATAGTCATAGATCCTTTGGTTATGCTTCTCCATCATCCCCTCAAAACCCCATGATGTGCTGGGATCTAATATAGAGCACACAGAATCCTGACCCCTTTGTGTGTTGCCCTCACATTAACAGTGGAATTACATCAGTTCCATTGTATCTAAAGGCTCTCCACACCACAGAAGAATCCTTCCAATAAAAATTATGATTATTAATTTTTATAATTAATAATGAGGGTACATCATTTGAGGTTTGCCTGTCCTTAACTGTGACTATTTTCTGCAGTCACTTTGAAACTTAAACTGTTTTCATGGTTTGGTATTTACTCAGTTTATGTAGATTTTAAAAATGTATTTATCTTTGTACCTTCATCCTGGTACTAATCCTTGCTAGTTTCATGACATATGTAGTATTCTGTAATTTTCTGGCTACATATACATCTGGTTCTTCTACTTCTGTAAGTAAAGATAAATTGTATTTGCAGACTTCAGGCTGTCACTATTGATTTTTTTTTTCTACAGACAAAATAATTTCCCCCATTTATAAAAAAAGAAAAAGTTACCCATATCAATCATATTAATTTGCATAATCCTCCCTGTAAAAAAGCCAACTGTACCAGATCATCCTCCATTCTAGAGATAAAAATTAGCAGGTTAACACCGAATCAAAAAAGATACCTATCTTCTTAATGACGCAAGAGGCAGTTTGTTTTGAGCTTTTTTATATAACTTTGTGACATAGCCATTAATTAATTATTAAATATTTATATTTTGGTAGTGTGATATACTTGCAGTAATAATTGTGCAGTGATGGTCAGCAACTATTTCAAAAGTGTAACCGTAAACAACTTGTGGTGTGTGTGTGTGTGTGTGTGTGTGTGTGTGAATGTTTCATCACCTCCAGCAAAGAAAAATACCCACATGAAATTCTAGGATGGGAGGAAAACTCTATGGTGTGCACTCTACAGTGCTTCTTTGAATTCTTCTGTTGGGTGGGCCGGATTTCAGACCATATCTTGAGAAATCTGCTGGACACAGAAGACCATCTATGCTAAAACTCTGTATCAGCACACTCCAGTGCCCTTCTAAGCTTCCTGGACTCCCGTTCTGCCTCTGCACTGCCAGGGACCCCGAGTGCGGGCTTCGTTTGGAACTCTCCAGAAGAGCAGTTCACAGAAAAGTTAATGTAGCTTCAAGATGCATCAGCTTTTTTTGTAGACTCTCAGATGGATGAAAGGGAGGAAGGAGAGATACTGTGTGTGTCCCCTCTAGCCTGGGCCCCACCCCATGCATTGATCTCTAGGGCTATGTCTTCACTACCACGGTAAGTCGACCTACGCTATGCAACTCCAGCTACATGAATAACGTTGCTGGAGTCGACATATCTTAGGTCGAGGTACCGCGGGGTCTACACTGCAGGGGGTTGACAGGAGAAACTCTCCCGTCGACTTACCTTACTCTTCTCGTCGGGGGTAGAATACAGGGGTCGACTGGAGAGTGATTTGCTGTCAATTTGGCATGTTTTCACTAGACTCACTAAATCGACCGCCTGTGGCTCGATCTCAGAACATGGATCCCGGCTGTAGTGTAGATGTAGCCTAGAACTATGGAGAGCTCTTTGTGAAGTTGGTGAGATTGACTCCTACATCCTGTGCAGGAATAGTGGAGGGTTCCTTCCTTCTCAGGGGGAACAATACCTGTTCCAATCCCTTGGAATATACTTTGTGAAAAAAAATGTACAGACACAGGTTTTTAAATCTTTACTGCTGAAAGTAGCACATACCTGCCTAACATGTATCTAATACCTAGCATGACCTAACACGTACCTTCCTGTATGCTGTTCTGCAGGTGGTTGACGATAGCTGCTAGGATAGTAGATAGACTCATCACCTGTGCACACTGTGCTAGGCCTAAGGTAAACAGCTCATTCCAGCAGGCACGAACTAGGCTTGTGTTACAGTCCTGTCTATAAAGACACAAATCAAACACACAATTCTAGCAAGTATTAAACTCATGTTGGCATTATCCTATAGGTCTGACATGTGGAAAATTATGGTTATATATTATAACGATAGTATTCTGGTCACTATAGTAACAGGCAGATATTGACAAATAACAGAAATTTAAAAAAAACAGCAACAAAAGTGCTTGAGGCTGGATGCATTGGCTATGAGAAATGATCATAGATTATCTATGCCAAGTTATATGTCCAAAAATTAGTCGCTTGCTTTTGACTCAATTTCACAATACAGCCTCATGGCCCTCTATAATACCAAGTATTATCATCATCAGTCATCTTGTTTTTCATATTCTTCAAAAATGTAGAAAAATGCTATATCGTCTCTATACATTTTAAACAATTTATTATAAACTAATTAATTAACTTTATTTTTTAAAAATCAACACAGTTGCAAAATGTTCAGCTTAATACTTAAATAATCACTCAACAGAAAAATATTCACTCACCCAAGTGCTTGGAAAGCAGGGATGGATCTAGCCCAGTGCATTGAGAGGAAAAGCAGTCGTGATGCTGACTCACAGATGTAATGTACATTAAGGTACTCTGGCATTGGACTAGGCATTGTTAGCTGCACGGAAATAAGAGTACAGTATAGTCTGTACAGGTCAGACATAAATCAATGTTTATTATGAACGAAATAAACTTGAATAAAAACATGCAATCTGCATTCAGAGACTTTTGCTGAAAACTGCCATTTATCATGGAGTTAGATTAGCAAAACTTCAGCACATAACTCAGTAGTAGTGGTAAGAAGAACAGGCTGGGTATGGGGAGGTGTGAAAGGAATAATATGGGAAACCAAATGGGATGGTTCTGTAAAAGTACTTTAGTATTAATTCAACAACACTTATCCCTGAATTTTCATTACTGCGTGCAGCATCATTAGCTTCACAATTACTAAAAAATTGATGAGAATCAGATCTTAAACTAAGTGCAATTCTTTAAAATTACAACTTATTTAAAATCTATATTATTCTGGCAAAGCCATGCCATATGAATCTACACTTGCAAAAAACACAATTTTACTTGAAGTACACAGATTAGCTTTCCTATACATTGCTTATTTCACTATCTTGATGATTTTTATCTGCTTAAAGGAAATGCACTTTGACAGCAAGAAGGAACATCCTTATTGGTTACTCCCATACAATATATCTAAAAGAGGTGCTTGCTCAAATTCACTTGAAGATACAGCTACTTCAAAGTGCAATCCCTTCTGCAATTCCATAACAACAGTTCGCCAAATAATGACCATCAAGAACATAGTTGTAATCCTTAAAAAATGGCCCAAATTTCAACATCCTTGACGTGAGGATGCTTCAAACAGCCGAAGTCAAGAGTTCAAAATATTTTTTAGTAACAATGTATATGAATTACACATTTGATATTATTTGTTATATTTAACACTACAAGTGATTCACAGTAGTACTATATGTAAGATCTAAATCTAAAACAAACATCATCCCACTGTCAATTGACAGGTCCCAAGGAGAGTGCATATGTAGTGCTTCAGGATACAGAGTGCAAGGGAAATGTGGAAATATTTTATTATGTCCTGAACAACAATAGCTAGTATACTAGACAATACTGACTATGGCAAAATACAACGATAGAAGAAAAACACAATACTAAAATCATTCCAAGTTATGTCTTTGCCAAAAAGATAGTTGAGGAAGCACTCACCTTAAATGTGACATGTGTATCTGTAAGTAGGGGTCCTTCCACTTCAATTATTGGTGTTGACTGATCTCTGCTGATTACATGAATATTCCCTCCTCCTGTAGGATCCATCCCATCTGCCAAGTTCTGAGCTACTGTGCCATCTGTGGTATTAAGTGCTTTAGCCAAAGTATCAAATGCACTGCAAATAAATGAAGAAACAATACAAGTTTATTTCCTTATAACCATTAACAAATTTGGAGTTGAGGGCAAATCAAACACTACAAGTTTTTCCATCTAGAAGAGAAGCCAGAAACTTTTTTCGCACAGATTCTGGGCCAGATTCTCCAATACACTCTGTTCTTTTGCTCTGCTCAGGCAGTGTGAAGGGGCCAGGCAGGTTCTGGACATATATGTCTGATGGAAAATTCCCTTGCAGAGGGGAATTCTCCCCTGGCATAAGCCCTGCACCAGCTGCTCTTTCTTATTCTAGTAATGGTGGCTCCTGCACTGCTCACCCACCTTCCTCTTTCTCACCTTGAGGCTTCATTACAAGGATCCTCCACTGGCATACGGTCTCTTAGGGATGTTTTGGGAATGGCATATATTTAAGCAGTCCCTAGGCTTCTTTCTAACTAAAATTGGGATTAGGTTGACATCAACAAGCCTTGTCTTTTATGGCAATCCAAGGCAGAATTTGAAGCCCAGCTCTCCAAAGTTATCATCTCAATCTCTTGTTTATTTCAAAATCAGGAAACAGGGAAGTAAAATCTTGCACCTCCATTTTTTTAA